ACCCCATATGTAGCGTGGTCTTCACTGTCCTCCTCAGTGTTGCTCCCACTGTCCTCTGCTTCAGACTCCAGCGTGGTAAATGATGCTGCAGAAGTACTTCCCTGTCCTTGGTTTAGCCTCCCATTAGCTTTCTCCATCCACAGGTCAAGAGCTGGCTTTGGGTCAAATGTCTCTGTGGTCTGCCTTGACAGATGAATGTGCATCAGGGCTGAGAGACGAGCGTGTGACAGACGAGATCTGTACTTGTTTTTTATTATGCTGAGATGCGAGAATCCCCTTTCACAAGCTGCACTGCTTAAAGGCAGTGTAAGAGATAGCTTAACCACCTTGTTGATGCTGGAGTAAGTAACTGGGTTACTTGTTTTTACAATTTGGACCAAGTCATATACAGAGGAGTCGTGTTTCTGCCTGCTTTAAGCGCATCCATTCTGTCACAGTGGTGTCTTTATCAAGGTGCAAGGCGGCCTCATATTTCTGGAGAATGCTGCCAACTGTTGTGTTTCCAAAACTGTGGAGGTCTTTCATTTCCTCTGGCCATGTTGAATGATCAAATACAAAAAAATTATCACATGACTTGAGGGAGTCATATCTGATTTCAAACTCTTTAATTAAGCCCCTAAGTATGCGTGTCTTGTCTTTGTCAGCATCTACATTAGAAGCAGTGTGTGCCCTGTAGTGGCCTTCACCATCAAGCAGTAGTGTGAACTGTCCAATGGCCACCATGAGTTAATCTTTACATTCTCCAACGGTCAGCTTTTCCTTCTGAAAGTTGATGGATGTGGTCTTCAAAATGTTTCCAATGTCCAGCATGTTCAACAGAAAGCACTGAAAACACTGTGCAGATTTGTTGCAAATCGCTGTCATCACTGGTAGCCAGTTGGATTTTAATGGCTGGCAGTAGTCTTGACATTTTTAACAGTGTTTCATGTCTCCGTGCAGATCATCTGATATTATGAAACTTACCCAGTTTCACAAAGGAGATCCCATTTTCTTCACACAGCCTCTTCAGTGCAGCATTTTTTTGCACCCTGTTTTTGTAAGTAAAACTGCAGCCGCTTGACCACAGTGCGATTTAATGTCTCACAGTAAGCAACAGTGCGATCGGCGGATTTTGCACAATTCTCCAGTGTGTGCGCGGTGCACAAAATGTGCACAAGAGACTCTCCAACTGCAGCAAGTTCCCTGAGCTTTGGCACAATGACATTGTACATACCGACGTTGACAGCAGCCCCGTCGACCAACTTTGTTGTCCAGTTATCCAAGCCTGCATCCAGGAAAGTCTTACAAGTCCGTCTGTTATAGCCTACGCGGTTCTATCAGCACCCAGTTCAATAAGTCTGAGAAAGTTCAGCAGACTGCAGCTTAACTCTTAACTCCTCTTTGATGGTTTGAGCAATGGTCTGCATGATCCGTGTGCCGCCTTCACGTGAATGATATGCACCTCCGACATTTACTCCTAGCCGCTTCAGTAAGGGAATGTCCTCAGAAAAGGAAGACATAGGACATGCGTGTTTAGCTTTTTGGAAGGCGAGGAGAAACATTATTGAGAGCTTGCCACTGTTCTTCATTTAGTTTATCTTGCGATCTACCAAGTGGACGACTAGACAGTTCTTGTCGGCTAGCTTGTTTATTAACAATGGCTTGCACCACATTTCAGTGCGCTCCTCGTCAGCTTCAAGCCACGGCACGTCTTAGAGCCACTTTTCTGAAAAAATTATTTTCTTCGGCTCCGGTCCAGTTTGGCGTTTCTTTGTTAGTGGCTGAACGCCAAAGAAGCTGCCTAATGTTTGTTGTTTTTTTTCAACATCTTCGACAGTAAAAACATGTGTTGATAAGGTGACGGTCAAGCAGTAAGTACGCAAATGCGCGTAGTAATATAATTGACGTTACACCTTCATGATTTGTGATGCGCATGTGTACCTGCGTACCAGTTATGTGCACCCCTGTTTATAGGGGAGTTCCGCTACAGCTTCATTTCCGATACGATACCGATCTTGTACGATACCGATCTTGCAGCTTTGAGAATCTACCGATATTGACCGGATCCAATATTAGCACAAATCAAACCAACTTCTATAACCTACTCTATACTGTAAATGATCAAGTAATATTTTTAAAACAGGGAACAAAAGGTATGAAAATAAATGAATTATATGAAATTAAAGATATGGAGGAGGATGTTCTTTTTCCAAGTGGATCATCAAAATAAGTGGTCCTCCTAGTTGTCAATCATTCTGGTAATATGTTAGTTGTTGGAAACCTCCTGCCACTAGAGGGGGCTACTGCTGCTGTTGGTGAGACGTGTCGTGTTCACTTCTTATTTTGACTGCTGAGTTGTGTTGTTGGTCTGGCTATCTCCATCTGGATTAAGTTCCTTTTTTTCTGTAATATCTCTGTAAGTAACGCCAACTGTCCAGACGCACTTTAAAACATAGCAATTTCTGCCTTCACAAGGTTTTATTTCTGGTAGTAAAGAGTAGCTAGCCTAGGATAGCGCTAGCTTATCATAGCTATGACTTCTTCCTCTCCCTCCCTTGATTCTTTTCGACTCTTTCTTCCTCCTCTACTCTCCCCTGCTCTCTGTGCCATTCATCTGTGTCCTTTAGTGATAATGGTATGTGTAATAAATGTGGTATTTTTTTTACTTTGCCAATGTGACAATAAGATTAATCGTCTTGATGCCAAAAAGAGCCCAATAGATTTTACTTTCACAAGTGGAGCAGTACTATTGCCATAGTGTTCTGCTTGATTTATGCATGCAAATAGATTTATTATATTTCATGCAGGGAGTATTACAGATTATATGGACACTGCAATGGGAAAATAGTACAGAAAAGGAAAAACAGGAAAAAGGAGAAAAAAATGAAAGAGAGAGAAGAGCCAGCCACCCCGAAGTGGAAACGGCCATGGGCCACGGGAACCCAAGGCCCATAGGGCACCCCGCCCCCGGCGGGAGCCCAGACCGGGACGCCAGGAATAAGCCAGCACCCGCCCGGGTATCCACCTCCAAACACTGAGCACCACCAATGCCCCACCAGGCCAAAGCACCAGCCAGCGGAGGGGGGCAAGATGGGGGAAATGGGCATCACACTTAGCGGACACCTGAGTAGGGTGACCAGACATCTCTGATTTCCGGAGGCAGTAGCCGTTTTCGAGGACTTGTCTCTGGCTAAAGCTATCCCCGGCAATGTCCCCAGATTTATGAATGAGGGGGAAAATGGTGCATATAAACTGTTACTATAGTAGAAAGCGTGCGCGAGCATGCTGCGCACAGAAACAGCAGTTTACATATAGATGAGGAGCACAGTGCACCAGTTTTAAAATAGACGAGGAAGTCCGTTATTACAGCCAGCTGGACGCAGCTATCCTGTGTTACCCCGAAATCCCACATCCTCCGTCACCACTCCAGACCTCCTGCACACAGCAAAGCCTACAGTGACACTGTTCCTCCTGTCTCGCTGCACTCCAACTTCCTCGGAGCTCAAGGAAAGCATGCGTGATATTATTATTAAGTTCATAGGATCAAAACATATGGAAATTAATGCTTAATTTAATGACATATAAAAAAAATCCCCAGCATTTAGAATATGTGCAATTTGTACCCAAATATTTTCTTTTTGTTGTGGATTTTTGTAACAGGGATAACTAGGATCATATAATCTTTATATTTACATCCTGTCGAAATAATAACAGCTTATTTAAAACAACAAACAGCTGTATCTATGAATAGAAAATGGGATTATGAAAATGTATTCCTGTTAGGTTTCACTATAACTTTACTAAAGGATACATAATTTTTATGCTGGCCCTGAGAGCTTATTTGTTATTCATCTATACATGTAAAACATGTATATTTTGGTGTGGCTGCTTCAAGCTGCTCATGGTTATATTTTTTATATTTATATTTTTTTTTTACAAAGCAGAGTGTGTATGACGTTATCCAAACGCTGGACTGGAGTTGTGACAGGCAGCCCGGGCCACAGGCGGCTACGCTCTACCCCTTCTATTCATTTGGCCACCTAATCTGAATCGTTCAATTTCATTTCGAGAACGAGATCATCTGTGGTAGTAGCACTAGACATCTTCAAGGCATGTGAGTAAAACTAGAAGCAGTTCAGCGGACAGGATGAATGAATGGTAGCCAGCGCGCGTAGATAACGTCATACACACTCCACTTTGTTTTAAAAAAATATAAATATAAAAAATATGACTGCGGATGTCTAGGAGACAGTGATTGGCCTACATGTTATGAATGCTGACGTACCATAAAGAATAAATTATGAACAGTTTAGTTTGTGCCTTCAAGTCGTTGCCCATAGGAAGATTAGGAAGATGTTACTCGGATATGACAAAACCGAATATCTTCGGAACAGCTCCAAATGACACAAAACTAATATGGGTGAGTAGAACATGATGTAATAACGTAAAATCAAGGGGCCAATGTAAAAAACCGGTGCGATGCACTGAGGAAGATGACTTCTGAAGATTTGTGCAGCAATAAGAGCACATTCTGTAGTTTTTTTTTTTGGACAGACATCTGGAAATGACTACAGAGCTGTTTACTTGATGAGAACTTGGCATTAATTGGCATTAGATTAGCCATGTGACCACTTAACATTCATTAGGGTATACAGTTGATGTCAGGAGAGGAGATTTGTTCTATGGGATACAGTCAGTCAGGGGGGTGTTATACGCAACATCAATTAGCTTTAACAGACATAAAAAGCTCCAACTGGCCAGGTCTGTTCAGTCGTCCATGCTGCATGGTGTTACGTTCTGCATTTTTTTCAGACACATTTTTATGCAGAGGTGTAATTACTTTAGAATCCACTACCCAAGTTTGGTTTCCAATATCTTTACCTTTCTCCATGCACTCAAGCACAAAGTGTGATAAAAGCCCAAATTAGAGGAGTGAATTAAAAGGTTCATAGAGGTGCTGCTGATATGCATTTCCCTTTGGAAGCAAGGTTGACAGAGAAGAAAATTATAAATGGACTTGCCTTCTCCTGATGTTTAACAGTCTTAATCTTCTTTTTTGGGACAAGGCTATATATTCCCATTTTCCTCTTCTTCTTTTTGTTCTTCTTTATAACTAGAGGAACAAATAAATCAGGCATCAACAATTTAATAAAAAGAAGTAATCATACTGCAAAGATCAATTCACTTCCAACAGTCTGCTGTCCAATCCTCTGAAACCGTTGGCTCGTGGCTTTCTAGCACCAGATCAGCTTTGCATTGATTCGAGATATCACAACAGGATGATATATCATAATAAATATAAATTCAGTTTAGTTTGTTGTTTTCCATCCATCCATCCATCCCTCCATCCATCCATCCATCTCTTCCACTTATCCGGGGCTGGGCTGCAGAGGCAGCAGTCTAAGCAAAAATGATGACAAAAATGACTTCCTGATCCACGCACACTTCCTACTGCTGCTCTCATGGGACCCCGAGGCGACAAAAGGCCAGCTGAGAGACACAGTTCCTCCAGTGTGTCCTGGGCAATATGCCTGTTTGTTTTTTTCATCACATAAAATACCTTCACATGACACCTGGTCCACTGGTCACTGCAACGATCATGTCTTTAAAAACCTGCAGGAACCTTAATTTTAGACAAAGAATGTTTGTGATTGCTAAACTGTTATTATTCAAAATAAACATTGCAAAACATATCACACATTTGGGTTTTCCTGGAGCCCTTGAGAACACGCTCTCTCTCCTTTGGCCCTAGTAGTGATTTTAGTTAGTTTTTTTCTTAGCCGGACACAGAGCCTGTTTACTGAAACACGCGTCCTTGTGTCTGATGATGTCATGATCCAAATGGCAAAACTTATGAATCTCTAGACAATTTTTAGTTGCCTCTAGAGCCTTGTTAATGAATCATCCACATAGAGGTATTAGTATCAGACATGTCGAATAATTTCTCTTTTTTTATGCTTTGTGAGTTTATTCGAGGCAATTCAAATGTCCAAGCAAGAACTTAGATTAATCAAACATAAAATATATTTATGACTCTGTAAATTTGGCATTGTGTTTTCAAGGTCTCTTTAACATTGACAAAGTCACTACCGTATTTTCACGACCATAAGGCGCACCGGACTAAAAGGCGCACTCTCAGTTATGTGTCCCATTTCTGTATTTAACACACACATAAGGCGCACGGGACTATAGGGCGCGTTTTTTATATACAGGTACAAGTCCTCTACTACCTTTAAATACCTCTACTGCGTATTTAAAAATACAGCGGGGGCAAAACTGA